TAATGACTAATAATTCCTAATTATAAATTTATTAGTTAAAACATCTGATGATTTTCTAAAAAAATTATCACCGATTTTCATTCAGAGCCGATAAATAAAATAAACTTTATTTGGTTTATCTCTTACTAAATAATATATGAAAGTCAGTATACACTAGATGCAATCTACCTTTAATCTATCTTTAATGTATGCTGCAGGTTAAATACAATTTATCGGTACAGGAATCGGCCCCAATGGAAATGTTAGCACTGTAACTGCCTAGTCGTTACTGTATCGACCGATTCTATTCATATTCTAGTTTACTTTAGGGCTATTCATTCATTGGCCATATTGGTATTTTATGAAGAGCCATACATAGCAATTTTCATTTTAATATTCTTTTATGTGAGATAGTAAAGTCATGTGACGTTTCAAACCAATCAATCTGAATTCTATCAAGAATTTCAATTTAAACATGTCAGTAGCAGCCCTGAAATTGGAAACATGACTCCTACTACAATTGTACAAATAATTTTAAAGCAATATGTTGAACGATTGAGTGAATTGTTTCCGGAAGACGAGCTCAAATATAATCTAACACATAATTACTTTTTGCCAATTGGGTGTCGCAATATAACCTGATCAAAAACAACACGTTGCTAAACTTATGTACATACTTATTATATTTATTAAAGACTTATTCACGCAACTATTTAACGAGACGTCTCAACTATTTTCAAGCCACAGTAGGGGCTTATATCCATGAATAGCATAGTGCAATGCGCGACGACACGGTTAACGTTACACAGCCAAGTAATTAAACTTGTATATTTTTTCTTTTTTTAAAGCGACGTTAAATGGAGAAAATCCTAGTGTGGGACTAGGATTTTCTCTATTATCGAGGGTGCGTTTACAAACATACAAGTTCACATACACATGACACGTACCTAGACCCGAAACAAGAATTTGTGGATCACACAAAGAGTTGCTCCGTGCAGAAATCAAACCCGCTACAAGTTGCGCAGCTGCCGGTTGCCCTGCCACCGCACCAACCGTGCTGTCATATGTATAACAAATATGGTATGTCATCACGTGTCACTTAGGTACGATTTAAAATTAATTATTACGTCGCCAAAGCCAATCGCTCTAGTCTAAATCCCATCTGTACGTAATCCAAGTACCTAATTGTGCTTAGAAGCTTAATAGTGTAAACTGTGATCTATTTTGGGAACCGACAGCTAACATTTACTTCATGACCTTGTACTAGAGACGATTGTTCCAACATGCTTTACAAAACGAATTTGCAATCATGTACCTACAAGTTTAGTTATCCAGTTAAAACTACTACAGAACTAGTTCTATTGTTACTTCTACTAATATTTTACATGTGAAACTTTCTAATGATAAATGGATTTCAAGCTAAAACTACTCAGTGAATTAAGATAAAACTCTAAACTCAGATAGTTTATGACCTCATACGTATGTTATTTGTACTTGTGACTGTCATGGAACACACAAAACTGGGATATCCAAAGTCCTATTCGATTTTTTGCCACAAAACGCTGAAATCTCTTGCTTTAATTTCTGTTGTGGAGATAAACTACAGTTTTTCTCAATTTGTATCATTTCATCATTTTATTTCATTTCATTTCATATCAATTCATTTCATATCAATTTATTTCATATCAATTCATTTCATATCAATTCATTTCATATCATATCATTTCATTTTCAAAGAAATAAAATGTGTAAAACAAAAAGCAACTGATGAACCATTGCGAACAATATTTGAAAGCGCATACGAACACTTAATACATCCTTATTATCAAAACATCACGCCATGTAATTCTCAAAGAGTTATTTCTGGTCGGGTGCCACGTGGAATGTGAATAGTGCCTGCGTCTAATGTTTCATGTGGGTCATTTTCATCCATGATTTTTTTACACTAAAAAAACGTATTGTTTTTTTAGTACGTACTTTTTAAATTACTTTTTACTCAACTTCAACTTTAAACGTACTTTTTACATCGAAGGCACTCCGTATGGTAAGAGAGAGAGACGAGACGAAAACGAAATAGATTTTACGGTTCATGCAAGCAATTGATTAGAATGGGCGGATAGGTACATGAAAAACACTAGTTTCAAAATAAACAAAGACTTTGTAGGTAGTGACGTACGGACTATGAAAAGTTTCATTGCTAACACTGTTTGCTTTAATACAAACTATTTGTTGCATTTTTTTATTTACTTTGTAGTAGTAGTGTTGTAATGTTATTTTATAACACATTTTATGTCATTGTTTATGGATTTATTTACCATAAAACTAAATAAAAGTTGTTCCTGTTCTAAATTATTAAATAAATAATATTGATGATATATCATTTTCTAACGTTGAAGATAAAACGGAAACAGAAACGGCACTAGTATTTTCTTTTTCACAAATCACTATATAAAACAAAGTCGCTATCCGCCGTCTGTCTCTCCCTATGTACGCTTAGATTTTTAATACTACGCAACAGATTTCGTTATGTTGTTTTTTTTAAGATAGAGTTATTCTTAAGGTAGGTTTAAATATATAATACATGCATATTGCACCCGTTGCGAAGCCGGGGCGGGCCGCTAGTATTTATTAAACTTAGAAAAGATGTAAAAAAATCAAATCAATGTCATTGACGAAGAACATCTGTAATACCAAACACACAAGCCTAACTACACATTAAAAAACAACAGGTACATAACACTGCGTAAATTATGAACAAAAATGAAAAAACCAAGTCTAACCTCTTTTATTGAAATAAAAATTTAAAGTCCAAACCTCGAACCTGTTTGAACAAACGTGAAAAATCCATTAGGAAAACAGCTGACCGACCAACGAAGCTGAAATAATAAGATTTACAGACCCACAACAACAAAGTTAGGTTCACTGTAGTTAAAAGTTAGTATCGAAAGTAACACTGACACAGAAAGTAAATAAATAAATTTAGTGTGAAAAATGGGGTAGGTACGTATAGAGGAAAAAGGAATATGTAGTAAAAATCCACGTCGTTTGGATTAGTATTAGTTTTTATGGGTTTCAGCATAATTTTAATACATTGTATGTGTATTTAAAACATTAACACACGACATTACAAATTAATTATTAAGTTTTCGGCTTGCTCGCACGCGCTACTACTGTAGCAGCGCGACAGTTGCCACGTCGCGGGTCTCGGAATGCTGCTTATGAATATGAGCCTCTAGCATGGCTTGAAATTAGTCGAGTTACCCGTAAAACTGTTACGTGAGTGAGTAAGCCGAAAACATAATAATGAATTTAGTATGTCTCACGAAAGTTCTAATATAATTATACTTATCTTCAAATAAACTTCTACCAAACATACTATTACACTGTCAAACACCGCGAGGACACCGGTGACCGCAACCTATTGTTCTTTAATTGTGTCTATAATGACGGTACTCGACGAGTTAAACTGTCAAACACCAAGCGGTCACCAGTGACCGCAACCTATTGTTCTATAATTGTGTCTATAATGACGGTACTCGACGAGTTAAACTCGTACTTATAACATACATACAAAACAAAAACTTACATAAAAATATAATATTCTCATATGAGTAGAACCTTGGCGTAAAATATATTTCAGTAAACGGCTCAAAAGACATTTGGGTCCCTCTCTTATCTTATGTTTTAATAAATTAAACAAAAGGTTTCGAGGAAATTCGACGAATTCATAACTTCATTACGTAGAAATTGGTCGCTGGAAGAAGGTAGATATTCATATACGTACGTACATACATAGTACATATATGTAGATACGTATATACCATATATTGTTTAAGCGTTGAAGTTAATCAATTCTAAACTGTCTCATACTAAGTAGTATTAGACATTTTGTAAAAGGAATGTAAGTGGCGTATGCTTTTTTTATAAAAAAACGTTTCCTCATTACCAGGATTTTCTCATGTGTCGAGGGTACGTTTACAAATATACAAATTCATATACGTATGGCACTCAGACCAGAAACACTAATTTGTGGATGACACAAAGTTTTGCACCGTGCGAGAATCAAACCCTCGATACGTTACGTAGCACCCGATTGCCCAACTATCTTCTTTTCTTTTTAAAAAAATAAGTTATAATTTTAATTATAATCACCTGGCTCCACTACTACGTCCACGTTATTTGACTTCCCTGTCCTAATCCAGATTAAAAGGTAATGTCTATTTTTGCACTTAATCTATCTTTATTGAGAAATATAGACAACTTTTACACTAGTAAACAATGTTGTAACAGTTCTAAAATTAGACAATAATAAGTAGCTGTTAACTAGTGTTTTTGTTCATTAAACTTATCTGTAAAACAAAGAACACGAGAAAATATCTTAAGAAAGTAAATTACCACGCATATTTCATTTAATCAACTGCAGGCCTAGGAAATATTGCATATTTCCTTCTTGAACAAATTTTACGTAACAACAGATGACTGTCCATTACGTTACAATTTTATCATGATAAGGGTACACAGCTTGAACAAGTTTTGTACCTGACGGAACCTATTAAGTATGCCTGATTAGTTTTAGACAGGACTGGAGGTCTTATTTGAGGTCCTTACAAAGGTTTCGGGCCAAACCCAAACTAGTAAGGTACACAAAATATACACATGAATAAAGCTATGGGATATATTTAGACACGAAGTTTTAGCTAGTATTTTTGCTAGATAGATTATAATGTAATATGCTGTTTGAGAAAATACACCGAAAATATTGTAGCCAACTTTGTATACTATCTATGTGTTTTTATAACCCGAATATCACATTACTATTCAACTTAATGCTGCATAACACGAAACGTGAATAAGCACCCTAATCAGAACAAATAACGTTATTAACCAATCAGAAAAGACCAGACAACACGCACGTAGACCCTTCTGATGCTCCCTATAGTAAGGATCCGATTTACGTAATAAGAAAACTACTTAATGTCCGAAAATAGAGTTTCTAGTAAGTAATAGAAGGGTGGACTCACTGAATGAATTTGATCGCAGTTGCGGGGGCACTGGTGGACATAGCACGTCACTTCCAAGGCTGCTGACGCTGACAACGTCACGAAGTTCCCCGAGCGATGACGAACGTAGCGTAGGAAGCGAAAAGTTCACTTCTTTCGTCCTGTTAAAAAAAAATATTTACTAGTAAAACACGACAGAATAAAAAGCAGTAGAATATTGACTAGTGAAGTGTAACAGCGTTCGATATCAAAGGATTTTTTATGAACTTTTATTAAAACACGTTTCCATTTTGATATTTCCAAAGAGACAAAGGACGTGGAGAGAAATAAAAATCATCGCAAATTCATTTGAAATTCATGAAACACACAAACATTCAGGTCATACACGACCAGCGACTATTAAGTATCAAATTGAAATAAATTTTGCCCTAAACATATTAATACTTTACTTATCTACTAAGTACTGCTGTAATCAAGTATCAAATTAAAATCAGTCGGGTAATTAAGTTAAACAGTTTCTCTTTGAAACAAAACTGTAATTAGCAATTTTATTAAAAAAATGTTCCTTATACGTCTTTTATAAAATTGCTATAAACACAACCTAAATATTGAACCATAACCTCTATGTCTTAACACCTAGAACTAGAATATGGTAGATAAAACCGCGGGAAAGAACTATAACCATAAATAATAAAATTAATGTATGATATTAGATTTCATGATAATAATAAGGTTTTATGATACAAAATAATAAAAGCCAGCCTGTATGTCTAAATGTGTTGGTAAATTGAGACGTAAAAATAAAAATAAAGGTGTATTAGTGAAAATACAAACGATTCTATAATGGCCGACGCTTGGTTTCCCGCCTTTATTAACGGTCGCGCGGCGTATGTTACATGGAACGTTCTGGAACGTTTCATATTCATTAAGTTATTTATATTGTGGCTGTAGAAATGGTAATTATTTTGTTATTTATGATGTTAGTTTACTATAAAATGTTAACGAGAAACTGTTCGAGCTGTAACTTTTGCTTCATGCTATGGAGTGAATTAACAAAGTATAAAAATTATAGTTTTCCCCTTATAAAGTTAGACAATCGTAGCCATTAAATTGCAGCGAAGGCAACATATATTAGATTCTATTATTGGTGTCAATTTTGGATAAAATGGAGATTTGTCATATATTTTAGAAAACAATACATATATATCTATATATACATATATATTGGATTAAGCCAAAGTATTGATTTCAGTTCAATACTACAAATGTTTCATCTGTGTTTATGATATTGATATAGGTATATGTATTCTGTCATTTTAGTAACTATATTAGATACTGTTAAGTTTTTAATTTAATGCACCGACCACGCTGTCATTTCTTCACCTAAAGGTTGACAAGTAAGAATGCCCATGGCATTAAGCCCGCCTATGTACTCTCGTTGCATAAAGTTAAATAAATGAAAAAAAATCGCGGTAATTAAAGTATCAGAACCTAACATTCATGTTTAGACTTTAGCACAACATAATACGATTCATTTCTCTTCTACATGATCCACAGCAATTGAAATGAAAGCAAACTTTACAAAATGTAACTACAGCATTGATACACCTTGATGCATTTTCAAAAACTAAGTTAATCTTTGACCTGAAACCTTTCAAGATTTGAGTCGTTCGATGAAATGTTTAATAGATTATCGCCTGACTGGAACAAATTATTTTTTAATTCCCTATCATTTCCCTTAGTTATCAGCTTTGAATGAGGACACTGTAATTATCTCTGTTAAGGGTCTGCTGTTGAAATTGTACGTTTGTTGCTTTTAAGTTATGAATGGTACTAAAGTTCAATACACCTTTCTAATTCATAATACTTGTAGCGAACAAAAATATATCATACATACTTTTAAAATGACAGCCGCAGTTTATATTTTTACAAAAAAAATGCTACTTTCGTCGCCTGTTATTACAAACCTTTTCAAATGATATTTTTTCGTATATGCATTTTAAGATATGAAAAATATTTGGCAATAATAATTGATAAATTGAAAATTCACTCATATAAAGTCCAAAGCAAAGTGCTTGTAGTGTATTTTAAAATTCATTAAAGGCCGCACCGCTCGCCATCGACAGGGCTTTCCCGCTCATACATTGGAGCCCAAATTGTGGCCGGTCCAGTTTGGTTTCAGAGGAATTTCCTTCCACGGTAAGGCGCATATAATGCCTCAAGTGTTACAAGCGTTCAGAGGCCATGGTAACCATTTACCACCAGCTGGGCCGTATGCTTTTCATCTTATGGTCGCTCCACGTCATAACCAAAACTACCATAGTAATAAAATTAAATGCCCTTTTCAAATCATATTAAACTGTCAAACACCAAGCGGTCACCGGTGACCGCAACCTATTGTTCTATAATTGTGTCTACAAAACCGGTACTCGACGAGTTAAAATATTCGCCGTTTCAGAATAGCGCGTTCAAACAAACATATATGTAGATGTTTGTTTAAAGGCGTTAATCTCAATGACAATATGGTTAGTGCGGTGGCTGGGCAACCGGCTGCCACGCAACGTGTCGCTGGTCCGATTCCCGCACGAAGCAACTCTTTGTGTGATCTACAAATTGTTCTTACGGGTCTGGGTGTCCTGTGTATGTGAACTTGTACCTTTGTAAACGCACCTACGGCACAGGAGAAAATCCTGTTGTGGGGCAAAGTTAAAAAAAGAAATAAACATAATCTTCAGCTTTTATACTTATAACAAGTATATCATTGCCATCGATAAGACAAAAAAATGATCGTAGATGAGACATTGTGTGTCAATAATACTTAAGTTAATCCGCAGCATATTCTTCTATATCTATATTTTATTTATTTATATTATATGCTTTATTGTACACATTTATGTAGTTTAAAACAAACAATTAAAAAAGAAAAAAAAATCTTTAAACCCAATTCAAGTAAATATGCGTACAATGGGCGGTCTTATCACACAATGGTGATTTCTTCCAGACAACCTTTGGATGGAAATATTTGTAAGAAACCAGATAAGGGGTAGTTACGTGTACAATAAAATCTATAATGTAATGTTAAGTTCTAACCGAATATCAGATCATCCGATCTTTGTAATAAGGTAATAACATACAACCAGGTGTGACTATTACGATAACTTTTATCACATAATATGCCTGTCTGGTTTCTAGATACGAGTATTACGTTCCAATATAATCTTGTTATATATTAGACGTGGACTTTTATGTCTCACTTTTCCTATTCTAAGAATATCATTTTTTTTATATATTTTTGTAGTAGAATTAGGTACCTGATACACGTGTTGGGTTTTGAGTGACATTGTACATATGTGTGTTTAGAGACTATCTATGTAAGGGCTCGTACACAAAACTGCGATGCGATACGAATTCGCAACTCAGAAAATTACGACACGAATTGCGGCGATGCAATTTCGTACGACAAGGCGTCTCCCAGTGTGACCATTCCTTCGACGACCGTCAACCGTACCAAACTTATTTTAAATTGAAAACTAGGTCGTGACATAGATCGTAAAAAGAGTGTGCATTTTTATTATTGCTTACGAGGTACAGGAAAAAGAAACAAAGAATATCTTGGGAAGATAAGATTGCGACGTCGCAGTCGCATCGCAGTTTTGTGTACGAGCCCTTGTACTATGCTGATTTTTGGATATAGAATAAAGTTATTTATTATGTTTATTTTTTTAAGATAATATAGAAGGTAGATACTAATCGTATACTATATTATGCTTTATTATTATGTACAGCTAAAGAGATTCTTTGTTTGTTTGAATGTGCTAATCTCAGAAATCGATAAGAAATAAAGTATTTTGTTGAACAGTCCATTAATCCAGTCCATTAATATTGTATTAATATATTTATTCTATAGGTTATTTATGTGTGTAGTATACATATTACATAACTTTTTTTTATTTTTTCAATTGTGTTCTGGCTTCGCATCAACCACTTCATTTCTCTGCACTTCCCTATGGACTGTAAGAGAATGCCTTAAGGCATTTAGTCCGCCATTCACTGATGTATTTTGTAAAGAAGAAATAAATAAATAAGTAAATAAATAATCGAGGAAGGCAAATAGGCTAAAAATATCACCTTACTGTGTTTAATACGATTCTAGTAAAATCTAGAGACTTAGGTCTCCTTTATATTTCAACTAATTTAAGTATCTTAATATTGTATCATCAAAGTATTTCGAAGTTTTACTAGAAGTATGTACTGTAAATAAATATAAAAGAGAGTACCTAGAAGTTATTCACGATTTCAATTCCTATCTAAACTTTCGTATCGAGAACTGGCTTGTGTTAAACAAATTACTTAATTATTACACTGTTGATAAAGTTTATTTTCGTTTCATGATACGAATACATATTAATATTAAGATACCTATGGTTGGAAAATGTAACACCAATTAAAAGTTTCGAACAACTTTATTTATTACAGTTACCTTTCGTTAAGTAAATATAAATAAAATTAAATAATATCAGAACAAATACTTACGTGTTATTTGTATACACCCTCTAAGTTTTATGAATATTTGTGAATTACAAACGCAGGTATTTGTACAGAGTCGTAGATCATGCGTGGGTGTTTAAGAGTACAATGACATCAGAGTTTAGATAGAATCGCTTTTTTTTTCAAATAAATCTATCATAAATCACATTTACTTTTAAGTAGGTTAATATAATAAATACACCTTAAGGTAATATAAATTCAAATAAAAGCTCATAATAAAAACGGTTTTTGGATTCGAGCCGATTTTTTGGCTTAGTACTTACTTACGTAAGATGTACGTATAAATAAATGATTACTCATTTGACAAGGAACTCGACTAGTTTCAGGCCATGCTAGAAGTTCATATTTATGACGACGCGGCGACCGTCGCGCTGCTATTCATTTTTTTTTATGGCATAAGCCGGTAAACGAGCAGACGGATCACCTGATGGTAAGCAATCGGCGCCGCCCATGGACACTCGAAACACCAAGGCGTTACAAGTGCATTACCGGCCTTTTGGGAATTGGGAATTTGAGGATTGTGGAGGATTCGGGGATTCGGGAGACGGGGACTGGAGAGGGGGTGATTGGGCCTCCTGTAACCTCACTCACACGACGAAACACAACGCAAGCG